AATTCATAAATATCATTAGTATTATTTGAAAATATTTGTTCTTTTTAGTCATTTGATACAGATTTACAATAGTTTAAAACAGTTATTTATTAGTTAAAATCACATTAGCAGTTCACAACGTTTGTTTTAAATAAAATACAATGCTGCATCGCAATTGAAATTTCGTCCTTTGTATTTCTTACTTAAGAGTTTTATAGTTTACCTATTTTTCGATAATGGGCATACAGTGAAAAAGTACAAACTTGACTATATCATATGATATAATAATAGTAATAATAAACAAACAAATAGAAATCAAATAAGAAAATTTACATCAGACGAAAAGATGCCATTTTGTTAGTTTCATAGATAATAGAATATTTGTGATATGCAGTGATGATTTTCTCTCTTGTTAATAAATAAAAAGTTTGTGAAATTCATGATGGAAAACTCATTGTTATGGTTGGATAATGGCTTTAAACAACTTTTCTAAATATACGCCAAATTCGCTTATTAATATTTCATTAGATGCAGTGAAGTCTGTACTTCCTTGCTTTATATGTACATTATTAAGAAAGAAAAACTCTCATAGTCGATAGTAAGAAATACACACTATAAATATTAAAGCATTTCGTGTAGATCAATAGGACTTTTGAGATTCACTTTCAAAGGAAAGAAGAGATATGAGGTATTGAGGGTCGACATAAGAGCGTTTATAGTATTAGCACTGATTAAAAAGTAAAGTTCCAGAGGATTTCGGAGGATTCATGCAAATGTTTTGTTAATCTAGAAAGAAGCAAATTGAAGAGTCCAAGTTTGAAGACTATCAAAACATTTGAAATCAATATTTCACAATACCCCAAAAAGACTTCTACGAAAGGTTGTCAATCATAAAACATCATCATCTGTATGGGAAATGGATATTCTACGGCTTTGAAAACATCATTCACGTCTAAAGCAGTGTTCCTCTATACTTCACTCTCTTGATTACAGCAAAAAAATGATTTAGTAAGCAATAGACGACAAAATATTGCTGAATGATGGTATTCCAATTGGTATGATTTATCGAACAAAAATTTGTCGATAGTCTATCTAGTCTCAACTTGTTATTTCATCCATTGAAGTAATTAGAAAACGTTTGAAAACTTACTAGTCGAACGGCGTAGTGTTTTGGTGCACATCGATGAGTTATTTGTATATACGTTTTCTTTCTGTAAGATAAATAAGAAATTGAGGCATTTTTTTCGAGCATTATCATTATTGATAAAGTGGCTTGACTGAAAAAAACAACTCTGATAACACGTGCAGGCGGTTTGAGTCATGAAAAGCAAAACCGTATTTCATCTCAGACTTTCATGCTAGAGTTGAATCAATTCACTGTTTGTATTTAAAAAAACTCACGTTCAACCATATAGGACATGAGACAACATCACAACGTCGATAAATATGAATCGGTGCACCTTCTGTACAACATTCGTTTTGTTGTATCAACAAACATTCTGTGCGATTGCTTTTGATTACACAAACAAAAAACTATGATGTATTTCATTCCTTGCTGATCTTATAAACTATCCATTGCTTGCTGTCTGTATTTCAGTCACTAAACCGATGTCAATTTCATTTATTCCGAATGAATACCTCACGTGCAAAACAAAAGGTTTCGGTAGCTTCAAATGGAGGACTGTTGATGAATGAACGCGAAAATAGGTCTTCTGTTTATCTATCCGTCTGCAATCGAGGATAGATAAGTATTTGAGTGTAGTATGAGTGAACTAAATAAGGTTGTGTGTATAAAGGTGAAGAGAAGATCCTGACTCACCCATATCCTCAAAATAGGAAACTTATCAACTCTTTCAAGAATGAGGTTAGCAAGTGAGAATGAATTACTACTCGTTAAATTAATCAACGCTTTTCTGCTCGCATCTACCCATGTCGTCCTTTTTTTCAAGTAGCGCCGCTATAACGTCAAAACGCCATTTAGTGGCATTATTTTGCAATTTAATGCCGCTAAGTATCGTAATTATTTCAGTAATATAGTGCCGCTATAACGATTAAAATTATTCTAGCAATATAACGTCGCTAAGTATCATACTTTTTCTAGCACTCTCTACGTCGCAATAACGGTATCAAAATGCCATCATACTAGTTTCATCTTTAAGTTTAAAAAAATTATTATTTGAATGTGTATTGTCGTCTTCAAAATTTTGACGATTTGATTGATCAAAATAATCACGATTCAGAGATTTAGCATATTACCGGATCTCCTGTCTTCTCTTTTGAGATTTGTTCTGAGCACTTGAACTTTTATATGCATCTGAAACTAAAGAGAAAATATTGTTTGCTGAACGTCTAATTGATTATTATTGTCGAACAGCATCGAACGTTCATAATATAATTATTTATCGATTATTTTTTTCTTTGTATGCATATCTTCGTGCAGTATACCAGTTCCATCTACATGGTGGTTTAGCACATACACTAGTGTTCGTATTTGAATAATTAATTAGAAATATACAACAAAACCCTCATCTAAGTTTCAATCTCGCTCCTCAGATCGTAGATTGAAGCAATATACGATACAAGTGTGGCCGGACTAGTCTAAATTACCAAAAAGTTGCCCCATAAGCGTAAATACTGCTAAGAAAAAAATTGTATTTCGATTTTGCCTTTAAAACAAATATTTAGTTTATTTCATTGAATAATTACAATAAGTTAAAGATAGTAATGATTATATTTTATTTTCCTTCTGACTCATAGATTGAAGCAAGTTGAATGTTTTCTCTCTCTTCTCAGACAGAACAGACGAGAAAAAATAATCTCTTTGAAAATAACTACTCTCTCCAAATTTATTCCATTGTTTATCAACGATAAACGAACTTAATTTACTTTTCCTCCTTTCCTTTCGTCAATATAGCAATTCAATTTGTCTGACCTGTCATTGTTCAATCTCTTTCAATGTCTCATACTTCAATAACTCCTAGCAACATTCATTAGCAGGAACGTTTCGAAATGATGATATAATTTATATGCAAGAATTAAATAAGGATTGTAAAGGCTTTAAACAAACGACTAGTATGGTATTTTTTATTATTTCGTTAGAAATCGTTACAAATTGTTATACAGAGAATCCATCAATTATTATATAAATCAAAGCCAGATTTATATAACAGTGGAGTTTATACTCTAGTTAAAAGAGAAAAAACAGATTCATCATTCGTTTTCAATGAACGCAGCCTAAACATGAAACTGTTAACTCAAAAGACTCTAAAATTGCGTTGAAAAGGATCTTTCAAGAAGCTTCGACTAGCTTTTTATTTTTATTACGTAAAAAATTAATGCATCAATATTTTCTTTTGAAAATTTAGATTTTATTCTGAAGAGATTATTTAAATTACACTTCTAATATTTATGAAATGCTCATCTGAACTGGTATACGCACATATGAATATCAATTTAGGTACTTATTTTGCTTGAAGAATCAACTAGCGTCGATAATGATGATTCTAATTTTTCTTTATCTTTTGTGAGTATGATATTTTGTCATTTTCATACTTCGATTTTCTTTATTTAGATTTTTAAACAAACTGAAGGCGCGCCTAGTCTCCATTTACTAACAATTCCTGGAACAAAAAACGAAGCAAATATTTATGTAACCGCATTGATACAGCTGATTTACACATATGGATCAACTGGCTTCACTCACACTGGCTGATACCCATAACGACAACAGATATATGTTGGGTAAGGGCAAGAGTATCGATTTCTTCGTAAAGTTGATTTTCTTTATTTTCAGAAGCTGTTTGTACAATCTTTAAACTTAATGACAAGCAACCTGAACAAACATTCGCCGAAGGACTGTACATGAAGTTTTTCTTGCAAAAAAACAAGTGGTCATCGCAAAAATGAAAATTACGAAACAATAATAAATTGTCTTTTTTATCCACGAGCTTATTCATTTTTTTAGTTGTTGATATACATTACTTGTATTTTTCTCTAATTTATTTAAATAAAATTTAAAATAAAATAATCATATAACTCTTCTAGAAACAAACTTTTAAATATGAACGGGTAGAAGGCACAGATGTGAGGAGGAGGAAGTACAGAAGTACCACAACTGATAAAGATCTAATCCTGTGGTGCTCAATATCGTCTCATAACACCACCATATCGCGTTATTATGGTCATAGCGCCGTCATATGGCACTATCACAGTCATAGCGAAGCGCTAAAGGGGGTCACAGTGTGATCGCTATAGCGCCGTTATAACGCCGCTACTTTACCGTTATCGACGACGTGGGTAGTCGACTAAACATTTGCTTCAACTATTCAAGATGAATGCTCAACTATCGCTAGTTAGACTTAGATGTTGCTAAGTAGACCTTAGGTTGTATTGAACAGTTCTTCTTTTTTCCTCTAACACAAAGCAGAGAAGTTAACCTTCGAAAAATCTTGTAATCAGTTAATATGCATGAAAGAATTTTATTACTGTATTGTAAATAATGTAAATGAAAAAGTGGATCACTACGACAAGAATAAATTATGCTCTCAACTCTTGTAAGACACGAGCTAGACGTTCTTCATACATATTCATTCGAGAATGTCCTACTGGGAAACTCGAGCCATATTATAATGTGATATACCCAGTGATTGATGTCATGGCGGTATTGGGTGTGGGTGAGTGTAGGGTGTGTGAGTGTGGGGTGTGGGGTGTGGGTGTGGGTGTGGTGTGAGTGTGAGTACGTGTGCATGGGTGTATGAAAACAAAACGAACATCCACATCCACACCCTTTTGAGACGGTCGATTTCGTTTCTTGATTATTGATCTTTCAACTTTATTTTCAATTATTGAACTAATTCTGAACTAATAATAAAAATGTTTTATTTGTTATCAGTATCTGAATCGATTTCATTATCCTTGTTGAATGTCTATGAAGGATTTCTATTTCGACATAAAGAAAATAATTAATGTTCTTGATAATTATCGTTGCGAGAAGAACTAGTAGATGCCATTCCAAAGGATTTTTAGAAAGCTTGGCCGATTAATCCAATGAAATTTGTAGAAAGTATTGGACGGCGAATAACAAATACTGGACCGATTCTTTTGTCAGAGTGTTCAATTGTTTTAGAGGAACATAATCCTTCTCCAGAATTTGACCATTGTATATGTTCCTTTTGTAATGAAGGTTTTTGTTGATTAGCATTATTGAAAAGTGAATTTTTATTTGTTTCGAAATAAGAATTAACCATTGGACGAACAGCATGGAGCGTAGCTACAATAGCCTTACAAAATGCTTTAACCATAGATGCTGCTAGGTGAAATTTTTCATCATTTCTTTCTTGATGTCTTAAATCTTTAACCAATTTTTGTAACTCTTCTTTTCTATTTCAAAGTTTTCTTCGTGTTTTTTAAGCCCTTAAGATATCTAAAGGCGGAGATTGATTTTTTGTTTTTATATAAATAAAGATGATAATCTCTTCATGCAAGGCTTAGCTGCGAGTGTGGGTGTGGCTGTGTCTGTCTGTGATATTGTGTAGGTATGGAAGCTGGTGTCGATCTGTGGGTAGATGTGGGCCGTCTTTTTATTCACATATAACACCCACATACCCAAGCCCACATCAACACCAACATCCTCACATCTATAGTCATACCCAATTAACAGCCACACTTCAATTTCTTATAAAATTCAAATTCATGGAATGAAAATAATGTAAAATTCAAGGATTTATCGAATGATTTCATATTTTCGAAATAATCAAGTCATGAATTTTCGTGGTGGAAATTCTGAAAATAGCCATTTCAATGAATTTTTTCATGTTTTTATTTCATGATCGGTATACCTACCATTTACAATACTGAATTTATATTCGATAATGTTAGGTTTTGTATTTATGATTTCAGATTTAGATTTTAGAGTATTGATGTTTATTATGTTAATGAAGAAACTGAGTTCTGCTATGTGATTTTAGCAGCTTTGGTTGTTTTTGAATGAATATATTACCGGAAACTACGCAAAGTATCTAGGTACTTGGTGTACAGCTGTATATATTTAATGCTGTTGTATCTATTGTTTGGTTGTATCTGACGTATGATTGATCATTGTGCTAACTTCACATCGATCAAGAGGAGTTTTTATTGGTCTCTATTTGATGATGTGGTATGATTAATAAAAAATACTTGTTTTCGTTTTTTTGGAAATTGAAAATAGGATATACTTGCGAATCTTTTTTAATCAGTGGTCGTGGTGGTGGTGGTGGAGGTTGACGTGTTGATGGTAAACTTAGTGGAGCTTTTACAGTCTGATTTTTAATACTAGATGCACGCTTATCTGGTCGTGGTGAAACGGTAGGAACTCCTTCGCGATTTTCCGTTTCCAAAACATGTAATTCATTTTCTTCTGGTATATGCGGAGAAATCATTGTTTTCAAGTCCTGTTCTTTTGCTGAAGCATTGTTAAAAAACATCTATAAAAAACAACACATACTAGTTATAACGGTTGGAGAAAAAGCAATTTCACATACATCTTTATTACCGATATGAGTTACATGAACCATTCTACAAAGAAAAATTTATGAGCTATCTTACAGAAAATTTTATTTGACATACGAGGATTCAATTGGTGATGATATTTCTGGTCGTAGATGTTTCTTTTTATTTCTAACAATATTCAGAAAACCTGAATTTCTTCTTGCACTTGTCTCTATAACAAATAGCAGCATGCTCATTTGAAAATAGTTAATTAGAAAAATTTCTATTGTTGACGTAAGTCTGAGAGGTTGATATCACTGTTCCTGTGGATGTGAATGTGTAACAACAAAAATATATCGTTTCTGAAGGACACCACAATATAACGCATCGATTCAAGTGTGCTGATTTCTAATTATAGATGATTCTATCCTAGCCTCTTGTTCTGCACAGTCCAAAATGTTAGTCTAAATCATAACATTCTTTGTGTTTATATAAGTCTGGGAGCAGCCAATTGTTCTTTGATCTTGGTGGTAATGCAGAACAAGTACCCAAAAACAAGATGGTTTCTTGCAAAAACAATATTAAATCTCTATTTGTGAACGGCTTATCAAATTTTAAGTTTTCATGAGTTCTAATTATGTTTCAAAGGTATGTTCAAGGATTATCTAGTCTACGATGAGAAAATTCAAGGCATAAATAAATGCAGGATGAAAAGTTGTCTGTGTCATCGCTTTTCGATTATAATGGAAAAAACGATATCGTTATTGTTGCTAATCAGATTAAAATTGTTTCGTTCGATCTGTTTTCAAGTATATTTCTTTATTATCTTTACATAATCTTCTAGCTCTACAATAAAGAACTACAATAGTTCATATATTCTAATGAGACGTTAAGAATATACAGTGTGTGTTACTCAAGGAACATCATCGATCATGGCCTATGTGAGAGAAGAGATGAAAACCTCCACCGAACATACTTCAGCACATCATATTAAACCATATTCTATACAATCTGATTTTCATGAACGAAATACACATCCTATGGACAAATAAGGTTTTAAAACTTTTCCAAAAAATCGAGTAATTTTAAATGAGTCAACTTTGGAGAAGTCAAATGAACTAACTTTTGCTCATATAAGTTATACCATTACTAATCAATGTCTATTTCAAGGTGATAATCAACGGTATCCTACCTTTAGATGTTGGAGCATTAATTTCAAAGGTGGCTACCTACAAGCACAAGACATTCGACAGATATTCGTAGTATAGAACTATTATCGCCTGACCTTATCACGGATGAAACTAATTCCAGTGTTTATGGTACGGGAGACGGCAGCTACAGCTGCATCAGTCTATAAACATAAAGAGATAAGTGTCAGCAGAAAAAAAGAACATTAAGAAATTGTTTGTATCACTTGAATTTTGCTCGAATGTGCCTCGTCTTTTGTTTTGGTTATGCCGGTAGCAGTCATTGTCAAAGCATCTACGATAAGAGACAATCGTTTATTTTTTGCTACTTTTCTATGTCATCTCACATAAAATTTAACATCTTATCACTATTTCATTGAGCAGAATTTTTTTGCCTTTATGAAGTTTAAATCCAAATCAAATTACATTTTTTCTATTCAGTTTTCAATGGTAACATACAATTGGATACTTCTAGTTTGTTCAAGGAACAAAAGTAAGAAAAGTTCGAAATGCTTTATGAAGTAGTGTTTTCTGGTCATATATTGGAGGGTGTGTGTTCACTATAAATCGAAGGCATACAAACATTCATACGTGAACGCCACACACTCACACTCATACGAGTACTCTGACATTCCAGAATATCAATTGATGTAAGAATGATCATTTCAAAGATGTTACTTAATAAACCACTCCCATGCATCTTTGGATGATAACATATTCGAAAATCTTACAGAACTCTGTGTGTTGATGGTCAAAGAAGTAACAATCTCTAGAAAGTATGAGAGAGAATGTGATGTGGTATCTTTTCTCTCGATCATCAGCTAATGTCATCATTCATATAAACAAAGAAAACTAGAAAATATAGAAAAATTTTCTACACGTTGCATTCACGATGATCGAAGTCAGATTTGAATAATTCTATTCAAAAAAGCAATCACTGTAGTTTAATATAAATCGGATATTGAATGAATCAAATAGGTTGTTTGTTAGTCGACATTAATGTAATCTTATTGAGATTTTAATAATTTTTAAACAAATCAATTTTCACATAATTCCATCTATGAGACCAAATACGTCATTTGACTTCTTTAAAGATGATGTTTCATGGAAGCGTAGTATTTGTTAACATGAAATGCTAATAATTGAGAATTTTCTATTTAGGATATCATGCGAAGCTATAAGTTTTCAAATGCATGGAAAAGCTCAAAAATCAAAATATATCAGTGAATATATATTATTTAGGATAATTCTTTTATCAATTTATAATTAAAATGAACTTTTATTAAAATATACATTGACTAGTACACATTTCACTTATGAAATAAAAGAAAATATGACAAAACAGGAATCAAACGAGTTTGCGATTGATAAAAACTAACAAAGGAAAAGCTATGTACAGTTTTACATGTTATATGTAAGTTTAGTTCATCTTAATTGAGACATTCATGAGATGATGTGTTCAATTGATTTAGACACGTTAATTTCTAATCATAGATGTGTTTATTCTAGTCTCATCGCCAGTCGGTGGGAACAAGATAGTTTTTCTCCGAAAAAGTCAAAAGCACGCTTTAAAATATAGTGAACATTCTGCTAGTTGTCAACCTCTTACAACAGTGTGAAGATGCACTTAAAATACCATTCGGTTACTGATGAACGAATTCAACTCATAGAGCTGCATCCTTTAGTCGAGATAATGTGAAAGGACAATATTTCCATAAAAGAGACAGAATCTTTTCATTCTGTTTATACAAACAATGTATATGTGCTTCCTCTGAAACGCCATGATAGAAATACAATAGAACGTTTCTACGCAAAGACCGAGTAATTCTATACACAGCAACTATGAAGAAGCAAATAGAATTCGTCGAGAAATGGCCACATCATAATCTATGAATGTGCGCTCAGTTTCATGTCCAAGGTGATAATCAATAGTATCCTACCTTTAGTTGCTGGAGCATTAATTTCCATTGCAGATATCTATAAATATAAGACATTCGATGGATATTCATTGCCTAGACTGATTATCACATGACCTTTTTGAAACTGAGGGTAGCTCCAGTGTTTACGATACTGGAGACGGTTGCTGTAGCTGTATCGATCTATAAATAGTAGTAGATAAATGTGAACACTTAAAAATTATTTGAATTACTTGAGCTTCGTTGGGGTCCTTCGGTGTTTTTGCATTTGTGACGTCTACAGAAGTTGTTATCGAAGCACCTGTGATACAAAACAATCATTCATGTTTTTAAGGCTTTTTTGGTGCCATTAGAGAGTGTAGATGTAGATACGTGAATATCGATCTTCTATTCTGCTAGCTTCACATTGATCCCATCTGACCTTAAATTGGTTCTCGTCGAAAAAGAATTCATCTAATCACTAAGTGCATTCAAGATTACACAGTATCACAGAATAAGTGAGTCAACAACACATATGGACAGAATAGGCCGCATGTGTCATTCGTTCTAAACTTAGTTTTGACTTGTATTAGTGAGAGCTTTCTTTCAGAGAAGATTTCACGAAGATTAGAATGTTATTATATGTATTCAGGAATCTATTATATCGCTTCTGGTAAATTCTTCACTCACATTTTTAATACATTTGATGAGAGACAAAAGTGTTTCATGAGAGTTCATAAATCGCTGAGATCAATCTTATACATATGTGAGTACTAATGAACGAGTTACCTTGTTTCTGCACGATTCGCACACGCTTAAGATTATCGTCTACAGCTGTTTGTAATTCACCAATTCCGTCGACATTGTATTGGATTCTAACAGGTGGTTTCAGTTTTTTCAAGTCTAGCGCAATTTTGTTGATTTTGTCAGTCAATGTTTTCTTCGTTTTTAATAACATTGTATAATCATTGGTGGAAAGAATATCTGTGAATTCTTTTCTATATTGATCAAGCATCTGTTTTTTGCAGCTCAATGCATCTTGATACACTTCAAACAGTTTCGTATTCTTGCTTTCGATCTCGTCAATACTTTGTTTTAGTGTTCTTTCACTCTCATTGATTGTTGTACGTATAAATGCAAATACCTCAGTGATTTTGTCTTTATTAATGCTTCCACTCGACCTGATGATTTGTTCCAGATTTTCTAAAGCTTTCTCCAAAGGTAATTGTGCACTTTCTAATCTTTCTTTTAACTAAATTGTATGAAAAGTTACTTTTATGAAAGAAATGTACGTGCTATTGGATACTGACCTCATTCTCGATTTCTTTTGCAACTTGAATAATGCCTATAATCTTATGACTATGGTGTGTAGATAATTGACAATCCGGGCAAACCAGTTCCTCACAGCTGCAACACCAATACTTTAGCTTTTCATCTGGATGTATTGAGCATCGCACAGGTTCTGAAGGTTTTTGCTCAATGGGAATTCTTTTATGATTACTTAAAGCTGGCTGTGTATGAATAAGATTGCTACAATTTATGCAATAACTATTTTCGCACTTCTTGCACCAAAGTTCAGCTTTAGACGAACAATTGTTGGAGCATTGCATAACGGCTACAATTACAAAAAAGATAGTCACAATCACAATATTCATTAGCGTAAATGAGTGTTTTCTGGAAATCAAAAAATGCAAAAAGAAACGATGTATTTTACAAAATTTAATATACCTTATCTATTGTACATATGATAATATAGTAAATAAGCGATAAACGACTGGGTAGGATAAAAAAAGACATCTTGCACATAAGCATTCAAATTAATCGAGAACTACTATCAGAAGACGAAAAATAAGAAGTCTGTATACACTA